GATGAGATTCTGCCGAAACGTTGCTACAACTTTAAAAGCACAACTATAATGATGTGGGAAAATACCCGAACAAAGCTGAATACCATACATATAGATACCCGCGAAAACTTAAGAAAACAGTCTGACTCACAGACGAACACAATACAGAAGCCTGATGATGGCAGATGAGATTCTGCCGAAACGTTGCTACAACTTTAAAAGCACAAATATAATGACGTGAGAAAATACCTGAACAAAGCTGTGTGTGTAAGAAAACAAATATATATATGTGTGTGTAAGAAAACAAATATATGTTTTCTTATATATATAAAATCAAGTTTTATATATGTGTATATAAATATATATGTGTATATAAATAGCACACACATACTATTCCTCTGATTAAAGGGTCTGCATAGATGCTCTGTGGATCATTTTATTGCCTTTTATAATTATGCATATATACATCCATATCTTTTACCAGTATTATGAAATAACAAAAGAAAGGACAAACAAGATTTTCAGATTAGAAAAAGAATTCCTAAAGCAGGTGACCAGAAATCAGGAAAGATCCAAAACCTTCTATCTGGTGCTTCTTTAAGGCTTTTTTGAGTTTCATGGTTGTCTTTCTCCGGAATTCCACCAACTTTTCCAGCAGATCCTCATCTGCAAAAATACCAAGAATTTCTTTTTTTAGAGGGGAAAGACTGGAAGATAGATGGTAGATATATTGACAGATAGACAGATGATGGATGGCTAGATGGATATAATAGATAGATAGATAGATAGATAGATAGATAGATAGATAGATAGACAGACAGACAGACAGACATAGAAATGATGATGGACAGACAATCAGATAGATGATAGATTAGGGGTGGTATTCTATTGGTTAGGACCAGTTCAGTAGAACTGGCTGTTACGATTCTCTGTAGTTCGGAGAACGAGTAAATCGGGCCCCTGGCTGGCTCTGCCCCTCTCCACCCACCACTCCCCTCCTGGCCTAGTCAGTCCTTATTGCTCATGCGCGACATCATGCACATGCACGACATCGCTGACTGCATTCTCCCCCATCGCCCCGCCATGTCCAGTCACTCCTTATAGTGCATGTGCGTGACAGCGCTGCCTGCATTTTCCTGCCTGCCGCCATCGTTTTCTGCAGCAGCAGCCAGCCAGCCATCACTGCCTGCCTTCCGCCACCCGCGGCCCTGCCTGATTTGGGTAAATGAGGGCTCTGCAAGCCCCGGTCGCCATCGCCGCCAGCCCTGGTCAAGTGCCAACTCCTGGGCCACCCAGTCGCCCTCACTACAGCAAGTTCTCCAGTGGACCCTGACATAGCTGGCCAGCCAACTTGCCTGCCTAATTTTTGGTAAGTTACTATTTATTTATTTATTTATTTATTTATTTATTTAGTATGTTTTGTTTTTATTATTCATAAAAACAAAACTAATACTAAAAATAAATAAATACATAAATAAATAAATAAACATTATTTTACTATTATTGTTACATGTTGATACTTCTGTAGGGAAGGAAAAACATAAATGTCAACATGTAACAATAATAGTAGTAGTGTAAAAAAAATGTATTTCTGTATTTATTTATGTTTTTAGTATCTGCTTTGTTTTATGATTAATAAAAACAAAACATATACTAAAAATTATTTAAAATGTTTATAATTATCAACCCTCTTTGTATTTAATTCATACATAGCAATGATGGTTCTTCGCCTAATTTCTATCTCTTATCTCTATCTGTCCATTTCTGCACATTGTAATATTTTTAAATTTTCATTTTCATCTATAGGGATCTCTTCGTATTTCCACATAATTCTAGCCGCTGTTAACATGTGTAAAATTAAAGATGTATTGTATTTCCTTTATTTATGTGAGTGCCAACAAAAATATTTCTGGTTTTAAAATTTAAATCTATATGTTGCTTTATCATTTTTCTAACCTTGACACTACATTCTCTTGAATAGCTACTTGAGTTGAGTACAAGCAGAGTCCAATACTGAACCTACTTCATATATTCCAGTTTTTTAAACTGAAGAATAAATTTCTGAAAAAGAATTCAGTATTGATCTGTGAATGTGTCTATAAATTTCATTCTTAATCTAACTTCTTAGATGATTTTATACTATATCTTTTTTGTACTATATACATCTGTATAAGGCTGTAAAAAGCTTCAGCATTTTTAAGATGCAAAGTCTAAAAAGCTTAGGTGACTAAACATGGCTTCGCCTGGCTTCTCTCTCTCTCGGCTATAGAGAGTGCATTCCATTAGGGACTGTTGGCCAGGTAAGTAGTCTTGGCTAGGAAAGATTTTTGTGCCACTACTGGCACAAAATATCAAACTCCCTTGGTTTAATTGTAATTCCATTTTAAGTGTTTATTTTTCAATTAATTAATTGTAATTATGAAAATATCAGCCATTCTTTTATATACATAGTATAACATCTTTTTTATAGACTGTCATTTTCAAATCCACTTTCAGCTCCGTCTCAGTCTTGTCTGGTGAAACTCGTTCCTCTTCCATAACATCTTTTAAACACTAACTAGCTATAGTGTTAGGCACTCTTAAAAATAACTGAATATTACTGGTCTCTGCTCCTCATCCACTTTCTTCGCTTGCCACTGCCTTCACCACTGAACTTACAACAATAATCGAGTCCAAACCACTATATTGTTGTATTGTTTTTTGTTGTTGTACTTTACCAGGATGAAAAGGCAAGTGAGTTTGACTGCTTTCTTCAGTAAGAAAACAAAAGGAGATCCAAAAGAGTCACAACCACAACCGTGGAGTCTGGGGAAAGCAGCACATCAGGTACACTGCAACCTGGGGAAAGCAGCGGCACATCATCTACACCAGGGGTCTCCAAACTTGGCAAGACTTGTGGACTTCAACTCCCAGAATTCCTCAGCCAATTTTGCTGACTGAGAAATTCTGGGAGTTGAAGTCCACAAGTCTTAAAGTTGCTAAGGTTGGAGACCCCTGATCTACACTGCAACCTGAGGAAAGAAGCAGCACATCAAGTACTGAAAGAACTGAGTCGGACATTGAAAGAAACCTTCCTGACTGCTGGACATTGCAGCAGTACAACAATTTTAAGGAGAAATATGATGGACTGGAAGTTTCCCAGAAAAAGTTAGGTTGCAAGTATTGCAAAAGATTTTAGGTTTCAATAAAAAAGTGTTCATGCAGCAAAGGAATGGAAAAATTTCCAAATTGAGCCATCGGGGAAGAGTAAAAGGTGCAGCAAGCATCTCTTAGAAAAAAAATGAAAGAGCATTTCTCATCTAAAGCTCACAACATTTGCAAACAGCAGTTAAAGCAATGTGAGCAGGATGTAATAAGTAAAGGACTGGATAAGATTACTGAAAAATATTTGGGTAATATGTGTAGAGTGTTTACTACAGTGTACAGTCTGGCACAAACGTGCAGACCATTTTCAGATATAGAAGATCTTATAGAATTGCAAATTAAAAATGGTTTAGATCTGAGAATAGGATTGCATTCACGTAAAACTGCAGTTGCAATAGTAGATTTCATTGCAAAAGACATTAGGAAACATTTATTTACCAAAATTATTGGAAAAAACTTGCAAAATCTGTTTGATCATTGACAAAGCCTCAAAATTATTGAAAAAACTTGCAAAATCTGTTTGATCATTGACGAAGCCTCAACAATATTTTCGAAACCAGTTCTTATACTGTACTTAAAAGTTGAGGATCCAGTTTTCTCACCAACAATTTTCCTTGAACCAGTAGAATTGGAAAAACAAGATGCAGAGATAATATATTGTTCAGTTATGGAAAGTTTGAATAACGTTGGGTTTCATAAGAACTATCAAAAGAAACATTTAATAGGATTTTGCGCCAATGGTGCCAGTGTTATGCTTCAGAGAAAATATGAAGTAAGCACTAGGATAGCCAAAGACATTCCAAATATCATAATATGGCACTGCTTAAACCATCATCTCCAACTTGTTTCAGATGATTTTATTACGGAAATAAAGCAAGTAAATCATTTTCAAATCTTTATTGATAAGATATAGTCTATTTTCCATCAATCCAATAAGAACCTAATTGAACTTAACAAAATTTCCAAATAACTTGAGATTGAAATTATAAAATTGGTAGAGTTTTTGGACCAAGATGGACTGCCTGTAGTTTAAGGTCAGCCCTAGCTGTGTGGCATGCTTATTCAGTGCCACATCAGTTTTTTTGTTCAAATAAATAATACTCAGGTATGGTGCCCATCTTTAAAATACATATTTTCTCACTGATTTGGCTATGATTGATATCCTAACTGAAATATCTCTTCTTTCTAATGCACTGCAAGTGAGAAATATAGACATTATAACCAGGGGTGGGATTCTACCAGTTCGCACCTATTCGCTAGAACTGGTTCTTGACATTCTAATCAGTTCGGAGAACAGGTTGTTAGAAGAAATTACTGGCCTAATCCTGTAAGGAAGGCAGGAAGGAAACATTCTGGAGTTGCTTACAGAAACTGCCTCTCTGTTAACCCTTATTACATTCTTGGCAGGACTAGACTTCCTGTCTCAGGAACGTCTCTGGAGTTTTTTCCCCTCCTTTGCTAGTACTTTGCTTGTGTGGAGTGACCATTCAAAGTTACAATGGCACTGAAAAAAGTGACTTATGACCATTTTTCACATTTACGACTGTTGCAGCATCCCCACAGTCATGAAAGGCCAGGCAAGGAGATGCGTGCCTTGATGTGAGTGATATTGAGCTGGCCACACCCAGCCAATAACATGACCATCAAGCCATATCCACCCAGTCACATGACCACCAAGCCACGCCCACCACCTAAGCCACATCCAAAGAACCGGTTGTTAAAAAATTTGAATCCCACCCCTGATTATAACAACTGAAAAAATTGTGGTAAGATCAATTAAATCATTTGAAATGCTTACAAAGGAAAGGGGTGCATATGAAAAAAAGGTTGATGGATTAATTACTTCAGAAACCTTTAAAAATATAAATGTTGTACAAAATCATCGATTTGTGGACTTCCTCGTGAAAGATTTTTAGAAAGCATTATAACTAATTTGAAGAAAAGATTGATGGATTGCGAACATTTTAAAATAGCTAGCCAATTTTAAGGCACTGATAAATTAAAAGTTCTCAATTATCTGGAGCCAGATTACTAGAACATTGAAGAAGTGGTGGTTCCTTGGAAAACAGCTGAAAAACAATTGGTTGCGTTTGGTGAAATTTTCCAATATGAAATTAATATTAATGATTATCACAATTTCATAGAAAATGTGTTAAAAGATTTGGAGAAATATGCAATTCCTGGCAGCATTAAAAAGGCTAGATATATTGTCAGGACAATTGCAGTCAGTTCAGCAGAAGCAGAAAGGGATTTCTCGCAAATGAACATAATATGTTCAGAGAGCAGAAGTCGCCTAACGGTTTCCAATGTAACCAGTGGTAGGATTCAAAATTTTTTACTACCAGTTCTGTGGGTGTGGCTTGGTGAGCATGGTGTGGCTTGGTGGGTGTGGCAAGGGAAAGATACTATAAAATCTGCATTCCCACCCCACTCCAGGGGAAGGATACTATAAAATCCCCATTCCCTCCTTACCCCACTAACCTGCTTTCCAGCTCTGTTCTCCTGTGCAGGGCAACAAAAGTAGACCCAGCCAATCAGCTGGGGACTCAGGAGGCAGAGAATAGATGGAGACGGGACCAGTCAGAGGTGGCATTTTCTGGTTCTCTGAACTACTCAAAATTTCCGCTACTGGTTCTCCAGAACTGGTCAGAACCTGCTGACTACCACCTCTGAATGTAACGAACCTACTGACTATCAATCTAATTGGCCTATCTCTGCAAGAATGGGACCCTGTTATGAGCACATCACACAGCTGATGATGCTCATGTCAAACAAAAGAAAACTGTAAGTGAGGATGCCAATAAAAAAGCAATTTGGCAATACTTTAAATAACAGTTTTATTGTTTTTTTAAAGTTTTATGTTATGTAATAGTTTTTGGTTAATATTTTAAAACTTTGTTGTAACAAAAACTAGTTTTGTGTACCTTTTTGCTATTTAAGCATTAAAGACATGAAATAATAAACTACCTTTTGCTTTGGTATATATATTTTTTTATACTTAAAACGGTCATTAGGGCAAAGAAGGGTTATTGAGTTGGCCACACCCAGCTGGTCACATGACCACCAAGCCACGCCCACCCAATCACATGACTACCAAGCCATACCCAGCCGGTCATGTGACCATCAAGCCATGCCCAGCTGGTCACATGACCACCAAGCCACACCCAGCCGATCATGCCCAGTTTAGCAAAGGGGAAAAAAGTCCTGATACATCACGTGATACCGCGGTGACGAAGTGAGTTTGACATGCCTGATAGAGATGATAGACAGACATGTAGATAATGGATAGAGCAATGATAGGGAAATATGTGTAACTACTGCTGGGGTTCTCACCTGTAGATTTGGTTAGAAGCAGTTTTTCTGTTGTGACCTTCACCTCTTGCAACAAGGCATCAACCATCGCTTTAACTGGGAAGAATAAGAGGCAGTCAAAACAGATGGAAAAAAATACTTAGATTTTAAAATATGTTTTTAAAAGGTATGGTACAGTATAACTCAGAGGTGGGTCATACTTTAGTGGTGGAGGAAACTTTGGGGAGGAAAGAGTAAGGCTTAGCTTTAGGTGGAGTAAATACAAAGGGCATAAAAATACCTAGGATTATCAGGGATGTTGTTTTTTTAAGATCATAGCAGAGATACACAAGTTTCTTAGGCCAAAGTCACACACATTTCTGCATGCAGTGCAAAACATTCTAAATTTAATTTAACTGAGCTATGCATTTAATTAAAATTAAATTTAAATTAATTAAACATTCAAATTAAATCTAAATTAATTAAATGTTAAAAGTAAAGTAAAATTTAAACATTAAAAAAATAAAATGAAAAATATATTAAATAATATTTAAACAGACAAATTAAATACTTTAAAGCATATGAAATTAATTATTCACCTCCCCTTTATGAATAATTCTCTTGAGTAAAAAATATTGTAAATCCCCAAATTATTTTTCTGTATTTATGCAGTCTTTGCAGTCTCAGATTGTAAACCCTTCACAGTGTTTGCATTTCTCTCCTCAGAGCAGTGGAAAATGGTATAACAATCACATATATTTTCCCTATCACCTTCTCAAGTTTGATAGTACATTTGGAAGGGCTCCTGAGTGAGGCTGGGGAAAAAAGAATTTTTCCTATCATTCCTGTACAGCTTAAAACGGATTTTATCATGTGAAAGTATACAATTTTCCTACCCACTGCAATATACAGCTTCAGAGGTGGTATTCAGCAAGTTCTGATCAGTTCTGAAGAACCAGTAGCAGAATTTTTGAGTAGTTCAGAGAACCGGCAAATCCCACCTCTGACTGGAGATTTTGCAGTATCCTTCCCCTGCCACACCCACAGAACCAGTAGTAAAAAAAATTGAATCCCACCACTGTACAGTTTCCTATTTATTTATTTATTTATTTATTTATATCCCACCTAAAATTGATTACTTTTACAAGTCATTCAAGTCAGTGAACATATCAAACACACTTTCCCCATAACAACCCCATGCAGTGTGCTGAAATGTGTGAGTAAATTGACATTTGAAATTAGAGAACAAGAAGATAAACAATTTTATATGATATGGGATTTGTTTTATCAATTGACAAAAAGACATGGTAATGTGATAGACTAGATAATTCTGTGATAGAAATTTAATAGATTGATATAAGACATAATATAGACATATTTAACCATTGGTTGAAAGTATAACATAAATTTTAAGATAAAATTTGGAATATCTCATATAAAATGATGGAATAAATAATTTAGTCATGGATGATTAATAACTGATAAATATATAAGCATATGTTAGTTTGACAATGTGAAAATTGATATAAACTGTGAGTAATGACTACAAAATACAGCACAAAAGGTTTGTAACCAACTGACACACTGTATGTATATAAAATGGAAGATGGTTTTATGTTTTTATGTTTAGTATGTGTACGTTTTTTTTTTAATAAAAACTATTTAAAAAAAAAAAACCTATGCAATAAGTAACTGGCCCAAGGTCACCCAGCTGGCTTTCATGGCTAAAGCAGGATTTGAATTCAAGCTATCTGCTTTCTAGATCAGTGCCTTAACCACTAGACCGAACAGGCTGTCATAAATTGCCATTTAAAAACCACATTCTTTCAATGAAGTTTCTGGTGTGAACATTAGCCCACCTTAACTCCCAGTTCTATCAATGTATGTTCCCTGTCCTCATATATTTCCATTTCTATGTCTCTCCTTTTTCTATTTTTATCTATTAGATTTTTTTTCTTACCTTGATTACTTTATGAATAACTCAAGGAGGTGAACATACATAATACTTCCTCCTCCTCTTATTTTCCTTGAGCCAAATTTGGGATTCTGAGCAAAATAGTCTGGCCTCGTTCATACAGAATTACTGCACATATTTGTGGCATCAGAATCATGTTTGTGACTGATGCCTTCCAATAGGATAAGCAAAATTTTCTTTATGTTACTTAGAGCACCACAAGAATGTCCTCCAGCCACAGCTTTACCTCCTGCTTCCATAGAGTCATAAATATAGGAGAAAACAAGGCAGAGATAGGGAGGCGGAATGTGTCATGAGTTTATTGCATTGCTATAAAAGATCCAAGTCCAGCCCATGAATTCTGTTGACCCTTATCTAGCTCCAATTTAGTGCTGTTAGTTGACTACATTCTTCCATATAGGCTTGAATAAATCTTCTACATCTGCAACTTTCTGAATGGTCGTGATTCTTTGCACCTGACTATAGGGTGGAAGGGACCTTGGAGATTTTCTAGTCCAAGCCCCTTCCAACTTGCCTTGACCCTAAGCCATGATTTGCCAAGACCTACCTGTCTGTTTTCCTTCCCATAAAAAATCAGTAGCCATAAAACAGAGAAGGACTTAATGCTTCCATTTCCATCTGTCATCACAGCAAAGGCTGGGTTCCATTAAGGGAGAAAAAGTTGTCTGTTAAGATGCTTTAGGCATGCTGAAGTCCCTGGGGATATGGCCATGATTCACTTATTCATCCCATGGATTTCAACACAATTGACTCAGCAGAGCTCCAATCCAGTAGTAATTATTTGTAGGGGTGGGGGGAATTGTTGTGTTGCATGGACACACCCAAGTTGGAGACCAAGGAACTGGCTGTGCCTGATGCTTTTTCAAAAAAGGCTTTGAATGAGGAATGCTATTGCATATTCTTTGTTTCCTTTTGATTTTTCCCTCCCATGGATATTTTATTGGATTTTGATGATTGTAAGCTGCCAAGAGTGTATCAATTTTGGTGGGCATAAATAGAACAATAAATAAGCTAGAGCCTGCAAACAATCCAGCATGTGTTATTTTATTGACACACCTGTAGAGATATTTGTAATACCTACATCCTTCCTCTTTTACATCAATGCCCTGAAAGATCTGATATTGCTTATATATTCATCCTTTTTTTTTCCAAATTGTAAATTGTTTCTAACTCAGGTTGTAGCTAAATACTGTACAGCAGCTGCTGTGAAAATTGATGAACTGTCTCTGGCAATTGTAACATACTTTTTATATCAACCATCATAATTGCCTGTATTATTCTACCTTTATTTAATTATTCTTTAGCTGTTTTCAGTTATATTGTCTCTCTCTGGTCCTTGGTTGTAATAAAGATTAGTTCAATATAGTATAGCAATTTTTAAACGATCTGTAAAAGAGTTGACTCCTTTAAAGTTAAGAGAGGTGGTTGTATTTATATATGTATTTATTAGATATTTACCCACCTTTATTATTTTATAAATAACTCAATGTAGCAAATATATATAATACTCCTTCTTCCACCTATTTTCCCCACAACAACCACCCTGTGAGGTGGGCTAGGCTGAGACATAATGACTGGCCCAAAGTCACCCAGCTGTCTTTCATGCCTAAGGCAAAATTAGAGCACCCACTGCCTCCCAGTTTCTAATATTGTTAATATCTCTGGAACAAAGAAAGTTTGTTATATTTGTTCAGTGCATTTTTCCTTTTGGCACTTTTCATGGGTTTTGTCATTCCTTTCTTTTCTATTTATGTTAATTTGTATTTTAATATAGTCGAAACTTTATAAAGATATTATAAGAGAGAGAGGGAGGGAGGGAGAGGTGACTCTGAAATACTGACATAATGACAGATTTTTTTTCTTAATGGGGGAAGATTCTTGCAGTGATGCTGTCTAGGAGAAATAAGACCATTCAGGAAAAAAAATATTGAATAAAAATATTAATTTAATATTGATATTTAGAAACAATTCTTCTAACTAGCTATGTTTCCAGGGATGTGTCACTAGGTGCAGATTTATAGTCCCTGTGCTGTCCAGCCAGTTATAGTTAATGGGAATTGGTATAGTTAGTTAGTAATTGCGAGCTGTCCCCTTAAGGGAATGCATCATGGTAAATGTAGTTAAGGTATCCTGGGAAATGTAGTTCATGTACTAGCTGTGTTTCCAGGGATGAGTCACTAGGTGCAGATTTATAGTCCCACGGGCAGAAACTGCCAAATTCAGCATCATGAATGAATGAAATCTTGTTTTCAACTTCCTCCACTCCTGTTCCTGATCTTATTTTTAGAAGGGGTGGGATGGAAAAAAAAATAAAAAACAGAAAAGAAAGATGAAGATGTGATGATAGAAGTGAAAATTTGGGGTTCAGTCCTAGCAGTGTTACTGTTTTTAAGATAATACAATTACAGGTAGTCCTCAACCTACAACCACAATTGAGCCCCAAAATTTATGTTGTTAAACAAGACAGTTAAGTGAGTTTTGTCCCATTTTACGACTGTTCTTGCCATCGTCGTTAAATGAATCATTGCAGTTGTTAACTTAGTAAGGCGGTCGTTTAGTGAATCTGGCTTCTTCATTGACTTTCCTTGTCAGAAGGTCGCAAAAGGGGATCACCTGACCTCAGGACACTGCAATCGTCATAAATATGAGTAAGTTGCCATGAAGTCTGAATTTTGATTGTATAACCATAGGGATGCTGCAATGGTTATAGGTGTGAAAAAATGGTCATAGGTCACTTTTTTCGGTACCATTGTAACTTGGGCAGTCGCTAAATGAACTGTTGTAAGTCGAGGACTACTTGTGTAGGTGGGAAGATACTGTATATCAGCAGTGATGCCACTAGCCAATAGCCCCCCCGTGAGCTCCCTGTACTACATTTCATGAAGCAATTCACAATCTGCTGAAAGAGGGTGACAAAGCCGAACTATTTTCCTAGCTGCAAACTGTATCCATGCACAGAAAGACATCTTAATCATTGCTGTGTAGAAGCAAAGGGGGCTCTGCATTAGTTTTATTTATTTATTTATTTAACAAATGTATATAGGGGGCCCTACTTACATCTAGGTGCTGCTAGACGGCTTACAAAATTTTTAAAAATAAAAGATATAATAAAAATCTAATTTAAAAAAAAAAACCACCCCCACCTCCATAGCAGCAATATTACAATCAAAACTGCCATTTAATCAGCTCCCTCTCTATTTGTGGCCCCCAGAACTGCTGACAAAACCATGCTTTGCCTTTCAGAAAAGCAACAGGGTTGGGGGAATGAGGTTCCATAGAGAGAAAGGGCCACCACCGAAAAGCCCCTTTTTTTTTGATCCCAGCAGATGTACATTTCTAATTGATAGGATCTGCAACATTCTCTGCCTTCCCATCCTGGTGAACTGGGTGGACATAATAGGAAAGAGGCAGTTCTTCAAGCAGCTTTTAAATCAGGGATGTCCAACCTTGGCAACTTTAAGACTTGTGGACTTTGTCTTCCAGAATTCAGCATGGCTGGGTGGGGAATTCTGGAAGTTGAAGTCCACCAGTCTTAAAGTGGGTCGCTTACTTTAAATGAAGAAAGGCTCAGAGGGTAGGGCCGACTCATAAGCAAAGGATTACAGAGCTGTACCTGCCAATCCCGAAAACTGGCTAGTGGCATAATGCAGGAAAAAATCCCCTTCAAGGCCTCTGAGTAGGGCTTCAGCCCGTGCCTTCAAGCGAGTGTCCCGCATCTGTTTTGGAACAACGTCAGTCCGGAGCTTAGCTATATTGCTCTTAAATTCTGTGTCACATTGTAAGCAGGCCCGGATTCTGGTGGGAATCCATACCAGGAAGAGCAGTGAAGAAAACCCTAGTCGCGGCATGACTGAATGTGCGCAAAAGGTACCAGAGGATTGCAAAGTTCTGCTGCTCGTGACATCAGAATGGCATAAGCAGAACATTATAAAGAGCCTCGGTGGCGCAGTGGTTAAAGTGCAGTACTGCAAGTTATTTCTGAGGACTGCCGGCTTCCTGCAATTTGGCAGTTCCAATCCCACCAGGCTCAAGGTTGACTCAGCCTTCCACCCTCCCAAGGTCGGTAAAATGAGAACTCGGATCATTGGGGGCAATAGGCTGACTCTGTAAACCGCTTAGAGAGAGCTGTAAAGAACTATAAAGTGGTATATAAGACTAAGTGCTATTGCTGTTGCTATTATCATCTGAATCATAAGGTTCTGCTTGGGCAATTGGCCAAAACGGATAGTCCTTGACTTACCACCACAGTTGGGACCAGAATTTTCATTGCTAACCAAGGTGGTTGTTAAGTGAGCCAAACCCCAATTTCATAACCTCTTTTGCCATGGTCATTAAGTGAAATAGTGCAGCGAATCACATAGACTTTAAGCAAAACCAGCTTCTCTCATTGATGTTGCTTGTCAGAAGGAAAGGAAGGAAACAAAGGGGTAATCATGAGACCTTGAGATGCTGCAACTATCGTGAATATATGCCCATCGCCAGGTACCTGAAGTTTGATCACATGACCATGGGGATGCTGCAATGGTTGTAAGGGTGAGGACCAGTTGTTAAGTCACTTTTTTCAGTGACATTTTAACTTCGAATAGTTCAGGGTCCTCAACCTAAGATCACAATTGAGCCTATGTAGCCAAGTGGGAAATTTGTGAAATGAGTTTTGTCCAATTTTACGACTTTTCTTGCCACATTTATTAAGTGAATCATTACAGTTCTTAAATTAGTAAACACGGTTGTTGGGTGAATCTTTGACTTTGCTTGTTAGAAGGGGATCAAAAGGGGATCCCATCAGGGGTGGGATTCAATTTTTTTAACAACTGGTTCTGTGGGCGTGGCTTGGTTGGTAGGCGTGGCTTGGGGGGTCATGTGACTAGGTGGGCATGGCTTGGTGGTCATGTTATTGGCTGGGTGTGGCCAACTCAATATCACTCACATCGAGGCCCGCATCTCCTCGCCTGGCCTCTCATGACTGTGGAGATGCTGCAACAGTCATAAGTGTGAAAAATGGTCATAAGTCACTTTTTTCAGTGCCATTGTAACTTTGAATGGTCACTCCACACAAGCAAAGTATCAGCAAAGGAGGGGGAAAAAATTCCAGAGAAGTAAGTTCCTGAGACAGGAAGTCTAGTCCTGCCAAGAATGTGATAAGGATTAACAGAGAGGCAGTTTCAGTAAGCAACACCAGAATGTTTCCTTCCTGCCTTCCTTACAGGATTAGGACAGTAATTTCTTCTAACAACCGGTTCTCTGAACTGCTTAGAATGTTAACAACTAGTTCTGGCGAATAGGTGCAAACCGGTAGAATCCCACCCCTGGATCCCATGACCCCGGGACATGCAACCATCATAAATGGGAATAACTGACAAACTCTGAATGTAAATCATATGACCATGGGGACGCTGCAACAGTCAAAAGTGTGAAAAATAGTCATGTCACTTTTTTCAGTGCCGTTGTAACTTCGAACAGTCGCTAAATGAACTGTTGTAAGTCAAGGACTACCTTTACATTCCTGCTAGGAAAGAGCCTAGCAGCTATACATAAGCTCCCATCTGTAGATCAGCTTCTTCCATCTGTACATCAGCTCCCTGCACTGATTCTTTCCAGATGTTCTGGAACTACAACTCCCAGAATTCCCTGGCAGCATGGACTAGCTAAAGAACCTTGGATGTTGTTGTAGTCAAAACAAGTTTGGAAGGTATTAAACAGGAAAGCAGCTACATATTTTCCCAGTCATATTTTATTAACAGAGAGGTTATTCATTTTTAATATCTATTAAACTTGTGTTATTTTTCTTTCACTGCTAAGCTAATATTTATATTTATAAAAGTTCTTAAAACACCTTGCAGAAATTAACAGTATGGCAATCCTTGCTCTCAGATTTGTAATTTATAATTGAAGACAGAGGAAGGGAATATTGGCGCTGGGGTCCACATTTAGAAATATTATTGTATGGATAGGCAAAGCTAAACTTTAGGGGATTTTCCACTTGCTTAGAAATGTGTAAATGATCAAATATGGATTAGCCAGTGTGATTTTTGAAATTGTTTGTGTGAAATTGACTATGTAATCTTACTTGCATGTGTAGACAAGCCTTTTCTGCTTCAGATGCTCCAAAATTGTTCTTACAACACCACCTAAATTCCTCAATAGGCAGGAGTAGAGAGAAATATATAGGCAGCTGAGTCTAACATATTTTGTAAGAAAATATGGGGATTGCTTCATCACAACTCACACAATCTTTCCAGTTATATATTGTTCTAAGAGGCATTTTAACCCCAAATTGTGGTGGAAATATTTGCTGGAATGTATTGATACTTTCTTTTGCTAGTGAACTGGATTTGACCCTTCCCAGACTCAAAAATAACTCAGAAACTAACATTTGCTATGTAAACCACACGTCACATTGATTACCTCACTACACACCTTTAGGATAAACACTGATATTATTCACCATTAGTTAAACAGTAGGTATTTACTTTGCATCTCCATGTATTAACATTCTGCTTATGTAATTAATACACCCTTGTGGATTATATTAGAAATTGTGACTTTTGTGTAAAAACTGTATAAAGGCCTCCCTGAAAGCTAAATCACCAACTGTAAATACTGCCCAACTGCCAAGAAACTAGCAAGGTTCACATATGCTGTCCTAAGCCATGGCCTGATTAATAAATAATTGTTATCTTCAATGAGCTACCCTTGAAAACCACTCAGGAATATTAACTAGTTCAGAATGAAGTAGAATGAGCAATGGCGGGCTTATCTCAGAACGCCCACTTCACACTCTAACTTTATGAACTGCACTGGTTGCTAGTGGGTAGGTTTATAGGTGTAATTCAGGGTGCTGGTTATCAAATGTTTGTGGAGATTCTCAGTCATCCAGGTATAGTTGTCTCAAAAGTGCTTTTTTCAAAAGGTAACTGGACTGTTTTTTCTCTGGGGAAGAAGACATTTTGCTTCTCATCCAAGAAGTTTTATCAATTCTGGCCCGACTTCTTGGATAAGCCAGAACCGATGAAGCTTCTTGGATGAGAAGCAAAATGTCTTCTTCTTCCTCAGAGAAAAAACTGTCCTGTTGCTTTTTGAAAAAGCACCTTTGAGTGCTGGTTATCAACTATAAAATCCTATGGTCCAGTTATTTGAGGGGCCACTTACCTTTCATGGTTTCTCCTGGCCACTATGATCCAACAGAGTAGGCATATTCCAGGTCCCTTTGATTAAACAGTGTCATCTTTCCGTCTTCTGGCATGAGGTCTTCTTGAAATCCAGATGGCTCCCAGCCTGATGACATTCCAGTAACTTTAAAGACATGGCTGTTCTCCCAGGCCTTGGGGTAAGGTGGCGGAAAGCTCTTCTTTGACATATGTTTGACATATGTTGTATAAGTTGTGGTTGGATGTCTGGATTTTCTCTCTCGTTTATTTACTTTATATTGTATTTTATTTTCTTACTGCAGTTCTATCATTTGTTTTTTTTTATGTTGTAGGCTGCCCAGAGTCAGTCTGAAATCGAACAGTGCCAAAATTGAATAAATAATTTTTATTAGAGACTGGGACTAGCAATATAGAATTTTTACTCAGGGCAATTATTTCTTCTCTTAAATAGAAAATGAAAATAAAATTAACATTAATACTATGGAATGCATTTTAATAAGTTAATAAGTACTACCGTCAGTCAAAGCAACTCAAATCTTTATTACAGGCCTAAGGCTTTTTGGCCTTTTATACAGAACTATAATTAAAACTGTCTGACACACAAGACTAAAAGTTACATGGATTGCTTACTTCCTTCTGTTCCAGAGAAACACTATATTTTGGGATATTTTGTGTGTGTGTGTGTGTGTGTGTGTGTGTGTGTGTGTGTGTGTGTGAGAGAGAGAGAGAGAGAGAGAGAGAGAGAGAGAGAGAGAGAGAGAGAACAAAAATACATCTATCTCAGTAAAATTGTACATCATGTTTGTCTTTTTGAATTATCTGATATAATCATTATTTTAGTCATTATTTTTTCAAGTTTCCTTGAGGTCTATGCTACATTAGTCTTTCCAAGCTTGATTTAGTTATGGATGAAGTTTCAGGAGTTAAAAAGAGAGAGCAAAGGAAAGAGAATTGGATGAATTATAGCAGTTTTTTCTAGGGAAAACTTAAATGAACTTTTAAGATGAAATGTATCTTTCTACAGCTTAAAATCTTGTTTACTCCCAGAATAGTTCACGTATGTTTTGTAAGATGTAACTCATCTTCTTTCCTTTAACATGTTGACTGCATCCTCCTCTTTTGAGGCCTGAGAAAGTTTCTACTTTCCTTTATTTCCCTCATGAATGTTGAATGCAGCATCAACATATATAAATATAGCAAGAGTACCTCATCGGTCTGGATGGGAAAATGATCACAGGCCAATTTGTTGAGTCACTTCAATCTCTGAAAGTAGCATGGGGAACCTTTCCTCTCGGCCTTGCTCCAGCTACTTTCATTGATGATGGTTCTGTTTGGTCATCTCCTATGGACTTTTGCTGCATCACAGCCAGCATGACCTTGGTATGATGGAGTGGGACATTCATCTACCACGAGAGGGCAGAATAGCTCTGGCAAAAGGGAGAATGAAAGGAAGTAGAAAAAAAATCTGGTCTGTCAGAATTTAAAGACTCATAGATTTATTGCAGCATAAGCTTTTTGCATCATACTCCATTTCAGATATATCTGACATTATGTTAGCGCGTGCGTGTGTGTAAGAGTGCGTGAAGGCTTGTTCCCGTCACCTTGTGTGTGTGTGGTTTTTTTGCATGCATGCGTGGCTCAACTAATCTCTCTCAAATTGATGTGAGCCTTAGTGTGCCAAAGTTAAAGTTTTGGCAGCA